TTTCCCTAGGGCAGGCTGAAAAACCTTGTTGTCCTAAGTGATAGGAGCCTTAGAGTCAATAGCACTGATCAGGAAGCAATAGAGGTTCAAACCCGATCTCTTGAGTTCCTAATAATAGAGGTCAGCCTGGAAGAGGCTCAAAGGAGGAGAAAGCCTTTTCTTTTGGGATGACTGGTGCTGATGGGTACCAACTCATCAGTTACCATATGAACATGACTGACTGGATTGGCACTCATAGCTGTGCATCCAGTGCTGACGAACATCTGTTTTGGAATGGGAAATTTTAGATCTGGTGGTTTTGGGTAGAGAAGAAGAGAAGGATCTCTCTGAATCATTCCCTGCATTCCTCAGGAAAAGATGTATTGTAGGCACAGTGGGGTTTTGACTCATTGGGATTGCTGTCCTCAATATCTAAGTCCATAGTTTTCTTCATAAGTAAGGATGAAATCAACAAGGAAAAGTAGGAAAACTAAAAGGAACTCCTGTAAAACAATAAATCTGTGAAGCCATAGGGAAAAGCTTTCTCTTAAGAACTACCTACAAGAATCTTCCATTTTGAGCCAGTGCCAAATAAGAGAAACTGACTGGAATACCTGATACACCACTTGTGCCAAGCATGAGGAAGAATGTAGCAACGGTGGTGCCGTAAGAGGACCATTAAGATAAAAAGTCTTTAACCTTATGTATTTATTTGCAACTGAAAAATAAAGGCCTGCACAGACTAAAATTTTGGAAAGAGGAGTTACAAGCCCATTGTATCACACAGAAAAACATGGTGCAGAGATGTTAGGTGACTTGATCATTTATATATGGCGCAGATGACACATAAAAGATTCTAAAAGCACTGTCTAGAATTAGATCACACAACTATTTATCTTAATGCTTATTACTATCCACAAACCTTTCTGATTTGTTGGGTCTGACCAAGTGCATGCTGCATGATGGTATTTTGTTTTGATTGTGGCGTATGCATCTGAGGTGCTGTCTGGCCCAGGCCAGAGGAAGAAAGAGGAGCAGGTATTTGTGATGGGGTCTGTATTCCAGCTTGTGATTGAGCCTAAAGGATGAAGATAAAATATTTGCATTATTCATATCTCACAGTGAATTACATCACATAAAAATCTATTGCATAGATTATGCAGAATAGCAATAGCATGTATTCTGGGAAGGTTGAGCATTAACTGTGTATAGGAGACAAAATTTTTACTCTGTTTGGTACTGGTGAGTTCCCAGCTAAAAGGTGGCATTTATTTTGCCAACAGAGTTTAAGAAAGATAAAGACAAACTGGAGAAGGTCCAGTGGAGAGCAATGAAAATAAGAAGACAGCGAGTGAGAGAGCATAATGAGTAAGAAAGGACTGTAAGAACTGAGTTTGAGTAACCAGAAAGACAAAATGATTATGCAAGAAAAAGGTGGTTTTTACGATCACAGTAGTTTTTAATGGCCTCTGAAAGGCAAGAAGCATGTCTAACATCAGGAAAGACAATTTTAGCTGATAGTTAGGAAAACTTTCTGCAACATCAGTGAAGTGAAACACCAGAACAAGCTGCTTAAGGTTGTTACAGAATTCTAGCAGGATTTTAGAACAATTTAGACAAAGATCTGTCTGGGTGCGTAACTACCAGGAATAGCTCGTGCACTGTGGACTGTGGGGCCCATCCCCATCAGAATTTTACAGCCCTTGTAAGTATTGCTAAATGTGATGGCTAGCACATGCTAGCACCAAAGCCTAAGGCCCATAACATGCCAAGTACACACTGGAGCTGAAAGAATACTGGCATGATAACCGTGTGGGTGGCAGGGGATTTCATCTAGCTATGTCCCAATAATGCCACTAGGTAGTATATGCTTAATTCCAGCTTAGATCAACAGGTTAAACTGTTTCAGCTTGGCCAGATTACTCATATACATCTTCATTTATAACCTATCTTGATTTATGCTGTATTTATTCACTCTGATACTACCTATAATCAGCCTAGAAATGATATTTGTGTAACCATAGTTTCTTTTTATAACTCTACTGGAGTTCCTCAACCTAGCATTCACATTTTTAAATATAATGAGCCATCACCACAGAAGGAAATTCAAACATACATTTTGAAAACAAGTATACCTCAAAATAAAGTACTGGATTTGTAGCTCTCTATTACAATTTGGAATTAACAAAATGGTGGTATATGCTGATACAAATCAAAACCAACTGTTCACGGAGACAGTACATTCTAAGATAATTACTTTTCAGGAAAGAGTATCTGGGAACAAAAGTCACAAAGAAAGCAAGTACTAGAAGTTGTTATAAAGAGATTGGCTCTTAAGTTTTTCTACTGTTTTCCCTAAAGCAGAAACAGACTAAGCCTGATTTTTAAGTTAATCTTACAAGCAGCACATTTACCCATTTATACTAAATTATGCAAATAGCGCCATGCACTTTACATGATAAAAAAAATAAAAACACCTTTACCTGCAACTTTATATTTCCAACTGGTAGCTGCACTGCAGTGGTAGAATTCGGTCCCTGGATAGATAGTGGCAGGAGCAGCTGGGCAGTTCCTTGGGTAGTTAATAAAGCTTGAGGTTGGGCAACAACTGCAGTTTGCGGCTGCCTCTGTGGATTAATATAAAATTGAGAAATGGCATTCTGAGGTTCAGCTTTGGCCACAGGTATCTCCTGCTTGATAACAACCGCCTTTTTGGCAACTGGATTCTGGCCACTAGTATATACCGATTGTCCTAAAGAATGACTGGCTACAGGTACAGATTGACTTGTACTAGAGCAGTCAGTAAGAGCATTTTCATCTTTGACGGCAGCACTGAATTGCTTCTGTTCCAAAGCCACTGAGTTACCAGAAGTCTGAGAGTGTTGCTGTTGTCCCCGTTTTTCAACCTCAAGTTGCATTTTCAGTACTTCCACAAGTTTTTGCTCTTGTTCCAGTTTCCTTTTGAGCTCTTCAATCTGCTTTTCTTTTTCTTGAAGCTTGCGGTCCTTTTCTGCTACATCAAACTCCATAGTTGAGATGCTTCCACTACTGCGATTCTGATTATCATCACTCATATTTGCTCTTAGTGGTGAAGTACTTAAGAAATGGGATGGTGACATCATGGTCATCATTTCTGTGAAAGTATCTGCTGTACTAGTATCATCTGTGCTTAGACTAGATTGTTCTGAAGGCGAGGGAGATATAGGCAAAGGAGAGCTAATGTTTTCAGTATTTACTACTTTGGAGCCAGATCCAGTAGATGTTTTTTCTGAAGGAAAGCTGGATGTTGTATTAGCCACTGGTTTATTTAGTGTTGCAACAGGAAATGCCACAGTCACTTCCCCAGTGTTGTTACCTGTGGCCCCAGCAGAAGTGGTTACTGTAACAGAGCTACTAGTAGCAACCCCATTGTTATTAAGATCTTGATAGGGTTTCAGACGCTCAATAAGATCTGTTTTTGTTCCAGACACTGGTAATCCCCTCAATTTCAACTCCATTTTAAGCTCTGCTACCTGAAACAAAATAAAGCACAATAGTAAAAAAATAAAATATTAAAACTTATTTATACACCTTCTACCTTATTACATCTTAATAAGGAAAATTATTTTTCAGCATATTTGCTAGTTACTGCACCTCTGGGTTCTAACAGCGTGCATGATCCATGAGCACATTTCCATGACCTGCTACTTAATTTCACTGTTTAAGTGGTCAAAACCTTAGTAGTGTTCAGTTGTTATACCATGAATAGTAGCAAAGTTATGTTGATTTATTTCATAAATATTCAAAATGGGAAAATGAACATACAGCTCCAATTCTGTGCTAAAAACTTCTGAAGCAAACCTGTAGGCAATGACAGCACCGCAGATAAAAGCACGGAACACTAGCATGCTGAACCCCTTTGGTACACCATCAAGACAAATAAAAATTTCTCAGAAATAGATCATCAGGTCAGTTGGATGATTTCATAGAGCCATCAAACACAAAAGGCTCTCTCTCTAATTAGCAACTGAACAGTTACAGCTATGTGCCATCTGGGTTTCTTTTACAAACAGAAAAAGTATAAACAGTCAAAATTAATCTAATTTCTGATAGAAAAATGTTCTCAATTTTCCAATAAGCTTACAAAGTGAGTGCAAATGAGTGTAAATTAATTCTGTGCTTCAAAATATCAATTAAAAAAGAACAGTCACAATGAGTGGCTTCTGTTTAAGATATACAGACACCACATCTAACTGTAGAGTGTTTGGGCTATATGTATGTTAGAACCACCTCTAAAAGAATAAAAGGTAGTGACCTCAATAATATTTCAGTACTTTGCCAGTCTAGAATTTTAAATTATAGGTCTTCACGATTTGGAAACGATAAAAAGTCACAGCAATCCATTTAATATCTCTTAAGAACCACAGCGATTTTGTGTTAAATAACTGTCTACCTAACATGATTATCAGTTGTTTCCCCAAGTCTGGTATCCTCTATGCTTGCTTGAGAGTGCATTCTAATTTTTCTGTTTTTCAACAATGCATTTCTGAATCCTTAATCAGAACCGATTTAGATGATTCAGTGTTAAAACCACCACCAGCAGGTCTGAAAGTATGGCTTATGTTACTGTTACCACATTAGCAGGAATACCAATAAATTATGCAGAAACGAGTAAGTGAACAGCTTTAATCACTGCAAAGCACAATGAAGTCTGAAAAGCTTATTTCAGACACTGTTGGTTGAATTGCATTTTATAGACTTGTTTCATATTAAAAGATTGGCTTTAACTGATGACAATGCATGACTGTCTTGAGAATGTGATCTTCTGAAACATCCTTTTTTATCCCTCCAAGTCTAAAAAAATACTTGTTCCCACCCCTCAGAAACCCAACACCTCGGTAAAGGAAAGGAGAAATGAACAAACTGCCCACTAGATGTCCCTGCTCCTCTGCTCAGGTCTGGCACAGCTACGGATGGCTACTGAAAGGATCTGAATCTAATCCCCACAAGCTGCTTCAGATTCATTTTCATTAGGTCCCTCACAGTATTAATTCCTGTTAATGTATTTCTGAAGGAAGAAAATCCTATGCAATGCCTTCATATTACCGTTTAAACAGAGTTTACACAGTTATTTAGAGCTTCAAGAAGCTTTTCTGAAATTCAGTGTTCATTTTCAGATGGTGTGTTAAACTCTGGTAAAGATCTTTTCTCTTTTACTAGTGTTATTTCTGCGTTGGCTTTATAGCAGTGACATCTCTGAATATGTTATTATTAAGGCATCTTTTAATTTATACTGCTTAACTGAACCTCTTAACTGATATACTAAGATTATCATGAGGAAATTACTGTTCCAGTGTTTAAAATCTGCCTGGGCTAAAACTTCACATGAAGTGCACGTCACAGTTTACCCAAGGTATCAAATTATGTGCCTATAAAATCTGTCTGAAATTCTTCTTCCTCTTCTAATTCTTTGGGAAAGAAATTTCTAGAACATATGCATGTGAGGAGGCTAAATAAAAACAAATATTTAAGTCCAGAAGAGTGTGTACGAAAACTTTGACAACTTTATTCTAAATAGTTAAGAGAAAAGTACAGTTTTCATTGGTAAATAACATCTGGGCTTATTCCTGACAGTAACAGTCTGCAAGTTACGACCTATAGTGATGCACAGAAATGGGCAAATCCCTCTTATTTTTTTACCTTCAAGTCATCCAAGCTTGAAGGTAGAGGTCCTGGTTTCCGGCTGGGAATACTACTGTTCTGTCTTGGTGAGCTGGCAGCTGATGTTGGTGTACTGTTGTTCAAAGTATTCAGTGGCGTATTCCCGTTGTTACTCTGTTTGTCATTCAGTGGCCTTCAAGTGATAAGAGAAAGGGGGACAATAATGTCAGTGCTAAATATATTATGTTTTCAATCAAGAAGCTGTGATTCTGAATCTAGTGTCTATCAAGTTAATGAACAAACTGCTTTTTTTTTTACAAATACATATTTAACTTAAGTCATTACCATTAAATATTTTTAGTGAAACAGCACAGAGAACAAAACATAAGAGAGTGTAGCACATTGATATTTTATTTTCTCTTCAGTTAAGTGTACTAATTTGTGCTTCATAGTTTTTACTATTGTCTTGGTATCCCTGAAGGATACTATGGACTACAGAATCAGTTTATACAAATTAATCATCAGCTAGGGTAACTAGTTAGTTTTTGTTTGACATCAATAAAAAAACCCCTACAATGTTGAAGTCTGTGTACCAACCCTACATACATGTCCAATGTTCTTATATAATAAAGACTGATGTGAAGGCAGTTTACTCTGAAGATGACACATTTTTATCGGCTGTACTCATAAGAATCTCATACAAGGATCTCAAAATAATTGTAAAAAAATTTTAAAATGCCATCATTTACACTACGTACCATAAGTCAACTCTTTTATTTCGTTCAACTGATTTATGAAGAAATGTTTCTGAAATGTCAGTAAATGGAACATAAGAAGCGTGGGTAAGCAGGCAGAAACATCTCTAGTCCAAATGTTAGGATGCATGGTAATTATAAATATAACCACAGATGGTATCTTTAACTTTTCTAGCCTCGCTTGCTAAGGAAAAATAACTCAGTGAAAACTCATTTTAAAAAACCAGTTGAAAGTCATTTGAATTTAGGGTTGTGTGACTGTGGCATGTTACACTATAAGCACATCTAGGAAAAGACTGGTCTTAGATGGTGGGAATGAAACTCTACAGATAGTCAGCTTCTCATTCTGCTACAAGGTGCTGGCAGCTCTTTAAAGATTTAGTTTTCTGACTGCTTCTACCTATAAATCAGAAAGTATACTTCTCACTGTTAAAAGTGCTAAAGATCAACACTGAACAGGAACTCGTATAAGCATTAGAGATGAGGCTATAAACAATATATAAATTTTACCTAATTTTAAAAGACTGTTTCTTCTTATTTGTAAACTGCAAAAATGTGGTCTGTTAAACTGATGTAAAAAGACAATAAAAACACAGCAATAGTATGGGTCTTTGTAAAAACCATCTTCTGTACGTTTCTCTTCTACTCTGCCTACCTATGTCATATTTGAGTGAAAATGGTATCAAAACTTTATTGCTTTTGCATAAATGCTTTTAAGTTTCAAATGTGCATCTGGTCAGGAAAAAAAAAAAGTATCTGATAGGTAGAAGGTCTGTTTCCATGTCACACAAAAATAACTAGGACCACTTAAAGGCTTATCAGACATCAGGAGTATTTTATCAAGAGAACCATCTCATCACCCTGTTAAATGAGGCAGATAATACCCACAGGGATGCAAGTTGTCATTTAAGTTTTCTGGGGTTCCAACCATCTCTTGACATTTGCAAAACATGTTTACTTCTAAAGCATCAAGTCTATAACTGATGTCTATATCTTTTCTTTAAAGGACACAAACAATGCTTCACATACTTCAGCGGTGCAGGTAGAATTGTCTGGTAGTTGTAGTGTTGTTGCTGTTGGCTCAGGATCTGCAGCTGCAAAAACAGTTGCTGCTGTTGTAGCAGACGAGCATAGTTGGAGTCCATCTGCGGCTCATTTTTCTCACCTTTCTGATCGGGTGGAATATATTGATGATACTTCAATTTTTTCACTCTTGGCTTAGGTTCTTTACATTTCTTGCTCCGATGCTTATCATTTGGGTTCTTTGGGTGGCTTTGCTGTTTACAGATGGAAAAGATTGAAACAACTCCCACAGACATCTCATTTACAAGCAGTTACCAAGGTACAAAGATAAAGCATACAGGAGCACATTTACTGCAAAGAGTTGCTGAACACAATTATCCCTGCAAACCTGCTCAAAGAATTGCTTACCATCCTTGAAAAGTTAACAGGATTTACTCCAGCTGGCTTATACTGTGCAGAAGAAGAGGTCATCAAATCACAGGTTTGTGAATGTTTTTTAACAGATGGCACAATGAAGCTAAGGGATTCTGCTAGTCATGACTTGTCATTGGAAAGAGGTGAGTTCAAAGCCACTTAGCACTTTGCACAAGTAAAAGCTAGTATCTTAAAGTCCATCTGTAAACACTTCCAGGTCAGAAGTACTTACAGGTCTAGATTAAAAGCATGGACAGTCAGTCCTATAAATTACAGGATTATTCTTATGAAACTTTCAGCAGTATCCTTATTAGCAATACCTGCACATGTGGTAAAACTCCCTTCCTTTACAAGCTCTTTGAAATTATTTGAGTGAAAAGTTGAAGGCAGTTACCTAGTCATACAGAAGGTATCAAAGCAGAAATCCCATCTTAATCCATGCACATTTATTACACAGATAGCCTGTTTCGGGGGATATCTGCATTTGTCATTAAGGTCCTGCATTAAGTAAGCTGATACAAGTCCAGTGATTGCACTGATATACCCAAATTTATACTAGAAATCGACTATTAGAGGTCATCCTTGTAAATTTAACTGAGAATTAATTTCATGTAGTTAGGTAGAAGTCTACATACATGTAATCATTACACAGCTGAAGACCTTTGGCAAAGTTGCTGAAATGAAATACTATAGACATCTTCTAAGACAACCCTCTCTCTAACTGCATTTGAAAAAAAGTTTTCCACGCTGCTGGCTAGGTCAGTGCAGAAAAGAGAATTGAGTATGTTCTTCTGACATTCAAATACAAGGATACAGTAACTTCTCTCACACAGTGCGTTCTGCTTATACAATAAATGAACGAAGAAAGTAGTGCTGGAAAAAGAGCAATACTGTTCACCAGCTTGGTTACAGGTGGACTATAAATGCGGTTGCGTCTGTTCCTATTAAATTATTCTCCATACAAAACTAGATTAGAAGCAATTAATTTCACCAATAGAAAGTATAAACTCAATATTGCAAAAATCTGTTGTCCTTATTTCTTAAAACTTCCATAGCAATGCAATGCATAATTCTGCTCGAAAACTTTAGTTAACTGTACCGTAATGACTTGAAATAATGAGCCAGTCCCTACAAGTGTTAACGGTTGGTCTCAGCATACAAAAGCTTTCAGTCAACAACCCAGTATGTTATCCTGAACACTAATAAAAGTTGTTGTTAGTTATAGGCACTATAACGTTACTCATGTACTTTTTCATTAAATATAGCACTGGAAAAGGACGTAGATTAACAACATAGTTCTCGGATGCCATTATTACAGATACCTACCTTTACTAACGTTGGTCCAGGCTTTGCTGCAGATACAGTATTTGTGGTCAGGGTGGTTGCAGCAGTAGAACGTGTAATGTGCTGTTCGTTTGTAGAGGGAGTTTTGAGAAATTCAGGAACTGGAGAGGTTAAAGGTGGATACTAGTATTAAAAAAATATAAGGAAAAAGAGAAACATTAAAAACATCCACCATTTAAATAATTGAAAAAAAAAGTGAAAAGGTTAAGACAATTTACTATCATGTCAAATTCACAAAATATTTTTAGGAGAAATGCAAAAACAAGACTCTTTTGTTTCTACATGTCTACAAGTATTCTATAAAGGCACATTTTGGCACACTTCAAATACAGCAAATAAGATAAACTGGTTTCTTACCTTGACTTCTTGGTTTGCATGTGAACTACTGCATGTAAACATATCCAAAATCAGTTTTTACTAATACAGTATTTACTTCTAGTTTCACCAAAGCAAAACAGCAATTGATTTTAATATAAATTTTTGTAGTATATGATAATAAATATTTTCCCAACATTAACATTTTTTTCATAATTATTATTGTTGTTTTTTCTGCAAGTAAAAAGAATGATAACCAAAAGATTTATAACAACATACAAAAAAAGCCCTCAGGAGGGACTTCGTTTTCATAACCTTTACGCTGTTGTTTTAATTTGCAGAATTCTTTTCTCCTTCTAACATACATGAGAACAAATAAATATCATGAAAACATTTTCTGTCTTTCTTACAAAATCATAAAAAAGAGCTGGAAGGACCTTCAGAAGTAACTTCACCCATTCAAGTCAGGAACATTTTAGTTAAACTGCTCCTAACATGTATTTATCTCTGGTTGGTAGCCTGGAATCAGATTAACTAATCGATGCCAGTCTTGACTTTATAATTGCAAAATTCTTCTAGAGCTAACAGCTGTCACTAAAGTACTTTTTCTCTTGGCGTAAGGACACAAAAGGAATCATCTCTTCAACACAGTCAGTCCAAATTACAGGAAAAGGTTATGTCAAATAAATTTCTTCTCTTGTTAGCATTACCGAGTTTCATATATAAAGGCTTCTAGAACCAAATTACAGATTTTAAGAATATAACTAATTTCTATACTTGTATATGCAGCATAGTTCAAACAAAATTAATTATAAGTAAAAGGAGAGATAAGGGTTAAAAATAATTAATGGAAGAACGGAATGCATTGTTAGTAATTGTTAGCAGAGATACCATCGTTTGTTATTACTCTGCTTGAAGCAGCAACATTAAAATTTGACCCTAGACCCCCTACACGTACACTGAAGCAGCCTACTGAAGTTACAGAAAACACTGCTTTATTAGTATAGAATTGAGGCCTTCCATATTTTCTGTCTGTGAAGTCAGAATCTTGTGTACACAAGGAGAATCTTACCACCCAAACTAGTACTATCGGAAAAGCCTCTCTCGTGATGGTCAAACATTAACATAGGAAAATGAACTCCTTGTTTCAGAATGATCACACAGCAGCGGAGCAGATGTATTTTGAAGAGACAGCTTCCTATAGTATTTTCACAGCAACCACACCTCCGACTGTGCCAGGAGGTGCATTTCTTCTGTATTTGACAGCCAGCACAATTACATTAATGTGTATGTACAGTCCAGTAGCCTAAACTTTACTGAGTTTGTTCTCTTACTGTTACAAACATCACATGGGTAATTTCTGCTATAAACTTACTAAATTCCATATAGGCTTAGGACTTTTTTTATTCTTCTTTTCCTGGCACCACTACGCCTACCAGAAAATTCCCAAAAGTTTTCCTACGTAATGACCAAACTTCACTGAGCTTAACTTTGTCATATCAATTTTTTCTGTGCTGAAATTGTTTTCCGATTTAAAACCTAATTCCTTTTGTAGTGAATATCCCTCTGATGGGATGTAGTCTCCGCATATAAACAGATCTCAGCCCTTGTTTTTCTAGCTACACAAATGAATTTTTATTCTTTTCTCATAAAAGAGATTTTTCATTCTCTGACCATCCTTTCCTGTTTCTGTTACAGTTTTCATTAGTCTTTTTTGGATATAAGTAACTGGAAATGTATAGGATATTCCTTATGAGGTCTCACTAGATCCTTACAGTGGCGTGAACACTTCTACTAGAGTCATCTCTTCTGACATACTTGCAATTTTACAGAGGAAGTACACAGTAGCTCACAGTCACTACACTGCTGACCATTGCACCCCAACTCTCTTCCTCCTCAGTTTTCTCCTGAGTCAGGGTCCCCAGGTTTCCACATTCCTTTTTCAAGCGAAGGAGAGGTGTTGTGTATCTTTCTTTTTGAAAACTACTCTATTCTATTGGAATTCCAGTTCTCCCCTAAAAGCCAAATCAACCAGTTCTTTCTGCGTAATAACAATCCAACTCTGTGCTGACTATGGCTTCCAACTTTTGTTACGTGACCCATTTTTATGTCAAGGTTGTTAATGGTAACACAAAACCAGAATGTCCCCAAATCAACTCCTGCAGAGCATGATTACCAACTTCCCTTCAACCCAATACTTCCCCTCTTTCTGTCTTCTCTCTGCCAATCTCCATCTTCTCCAGTGTTGCTAGTGTTTAACATCATGCAGTATTAAATCCAGACAGATGAGATCAGTTGCATTTCCATTGTTTAAGAAAGCAATTAGATCACCTAAACAATATCCCTTTTATAAAAGCACATCTATTTCCCTTATATTCCTAACAGTAAATACCCTTTTTCTTCAGAATATGTTCTAAAACCTTGCATTCTAATTAAGTCAGACAGGTACTTCTCCCTAATCCATTTCTTCCTGTGCTCTACTATTCTTCCATGAGATTGTACCACAAAGGACTTAAATCAGTTTGCTAAAAACACTTGGTACACATTTTGCAACTTTATGTCCTGGTTCTTTTGTATTTCTGGGATGGCAATTACCACACTGCCAGTCTGCGTGCACTAAGCCCTCCGACTTTTGCTTACAATTAAATTACAATAATTTTCTCTTCTATCTCTGCATTTCTTGTATACATTTTTCTGCATCTCCAACTGTCAGCTGCCAACAGGCAGCTATAGCTAGCTCGCCATAACCTAAGCTGTATAGTGGTTTTGATCCTTCTGTAGTGCAGCCATCCAGAGGAAAAGCTCCTGATACTGCTTTACTAAATTGCAAGATTTAGTACGCTATGCCTAGTCGCTGAAACACTGCACACATGCTTGCGTTGGGGTTGTGTCAGTTTATGGTGGCAGGCTAAAGATATAAATGCCTCTATTTTTATATCCAGCTTTCAAAGTGTTTGCTCTGGAAAGCATCCGATATCTACACAGTATCTGTTATTTGCTGGACTTGTATAAGAATTGGCAGGGGACTTTAGAGGGACTTACCCTTTAAAAAAAGGGTTCTGGATGCTGTATTCCAACGTATTGCACTCCTGTTGCTATCAAGTTTAAAAGGCTTGTTCTAGTTATAGCAGTAACATTTAAAAAAGCACTTAGCTTGTCTTTGAATCAAACTGTCATGTACAGTATTACCATAAAAAGCACAGGAGAATTCTAATGATCTCATGATTTTCACTGGTTCTTAAATTTCCTTTTCCTGAAGTCTCATCTGAAAAGCATTTTAAATGTTTGATACTTCAGCTTATTCATTACATAATCTTTTTCCATTCATCATTCTGATCCTTCTTGAACCCCCAAAAATAACTTGACTTCAAACATACTATTTAGCAACCCTTTATAGGGTATGAAAACAACTCCATAATGACAGCACAACAAAACTCTTTAAAATGGAGACATCGGTAACTTAAAAAAAACCCCAAACAACAAAACCCAAACTAAACCAAACAACCCCCAAAGAACAACAACAAAACACGTACAAACCCCCCCCCATCCAAAAGAACACCCCACCTCTTTAATTCATATTGCTTGAAAATCATGGTGTTAAACATTCTCCTCTTGCCAGAGCAAATTACTTTTTCCTTACAGTAGTTTTTATCCTAAACTACAAAGGATTAATGACTACATGAAATACAAAGCTTTTTACAGACTTCCCCATTTTAGCTGCAAGTGTTAGATGAGGCAATGAACCGTGCATATCATTTACTTCATAAATTTTTAAAATCAAAAAACTAAATTAACAGGTCTCAACTTCTTAACCTGATTATTTCATAAAGTAATGTAAAGATTATTTCCTTGGAATAGATCTTCTGTTTCCAGTTACAGATAATATGATTTCGGGACCTTTTCTTCTAACTGCAAACAAGCATCTAACAGGTCAACAAGCTACAGTAAATAGAATAAGAAACCAGTCATTATATTCTGTCTCATCAAGCAAAATACTTCAGCTGTTTTGAAGATAACTGTTTCATGTCCAGAACGGTGAGCACCACAATTTGATCTGTTTAGAATGGTGTGGTTAAATGCCTAATCCTTACCAGATGCAAATACATCAGGTTAAAGCAAGTTTTAGGTCATCAGTCAATGCCAGCCGAAGGTTCTCAAAGTTATGTTACATCCTTTGAGGCCTGGAAATGTGTGGAGGAGGAAACCTCGAAAAGAACTCTGGCTACACTCCACTGTTTTCAAAACATTCTTTGTATTTTATGTGTAATAAAATGTACAATTTGTCAGAGGAAATTAAAAGAATGAAGGAGCAATTTCCCAGATGCATCTCCTGTAGAGACGTGCTGTGCTGTTATTCTTTATTTCAAAAGGAGCAACAAGGTAAGCATCTGTTTTATTCAGCAGAAGAGCAACTTTGCATTTTAGATCTGTGCACAGAAGGGCTGTAGTACGTTACGAAATCCATAAGCAAAGGCTTGAAGTTGTATCTGAAGTGTTTTTTCAATCACATTCAAGTGCTCTGTTACTTTGCTGCTGCAATCACGTATTCATCTTATGCTTCCTACTTGAAAAGCTTTTTGGCAGGTATTGCTTTTGAGTATTTTTATTTAACTCTCCATTAGGAACCTAAATCTTTCCTTAGGAATCTAATTTAATGCAGTTTGTTTTTAATTTATTCAACACAAATTACATTCTCTCGACATGAAACCCAATTCACATCTTAATCTGTCTGTTAGGGAACAATGAAAGAAAACGGATGTGCTGTACTTTGTGTCTAGCATTGGTTTTGAATATGAACTTTGCAATACTTTTTCTGTCTACTATAGTAATAAGAAAACTAAGGAGAGTAATTCCAGATCCTGAACTACTCAGTTGTCAAGTATCCATGGTTATTGAGACAATACCATCTTGGGAGCACAAACAGTATTTATCTCATATTTGACTGTTTAATTTTACATTACTTTATACTGTAACAACTCAGTCAGTTCTGTCTTATCTTTTGTTCTTAATTTATAAATTGCAGCACAGTTCCCTGTGTAGAGCCCTAGCTTTGCTACAAATCCTCTGAGAGTTTAAATATGTAAATAAATGCATTTTCCAAAAGAATGCTTAATAAAAAGACAAAGCATGAAAATAATCTGAACTGCAAAGTTATGCATCTTTTTCTTTGTGTACTGGAGAAAGTGATGAAGGAACACACTTAGGAATTCCTCCTGGAGAAAATCCATTATAGATCACAGTCAATCAACATTAATACCTGAAGAATATTACACATTTGTAATAGTATCATTCACATATTAGTCAAATTTTGATTCACTCTGAAATTCTTTCAAAATAAAGTATTTTAATGTTTGCGTTATACAAGCTAAACCAACTTATTTTTACCAGGTACAGGCTTGCATGAAATGAAACAAGTTAAAGTCCTAAAGCTTTTGAATTTCCATCAAATTCACACTTCCTGCTTAAAGACTACTGCTCAAATTAATACAAAACATTTCAGCTAATTAAACAAAAATGACATTACCAAAATTTGCTTATACACACCTGGTATATCGATACCAAGTACACAAAGCTGAGTGCAATATTATTAAACTGCTGTCATTTGTAAGTCACTTTATATATATAATACTGTGATGAAACCCCAAGTCTTTCCACTAAATAATGTAGTGAAGTGTAAACATGGATAGTATGGTAAAATGTATCAATCTGAAACATAAATTATTTTTCTGTGACAATACAGCTGCTTTCATTTATGTACAACAGGAAAATGGGCTTACTAGGAGAAAGAGTAGTTCAGGATCAGGGACATTTCTCTAGCATACACGATTGCTCAGCAGACATACTTAAATTTGATTCAACAACAAATTCAGCATTGATCCAAGGCAAAATTTTTGTTACTCTTCAACACATAAACTAATGGTTCCTCTAGGCAGGTGTAACTTAGAATATAAGCACAATTTGTCATTTACTTAGCTCAGTCTCAAATGAACAAGCTGTTAATGAGTGGAGATGAGTACTGTTAAATCTGGCTACTTTGGAGTTCGCTGACCATTCAAGCTTGTTGCCATCAGACAACGTATGACGACTTTGCTTGCCTTTCCGTCTCCTGGAGCCTTACTTGGGTCTTTTTCTCTATCCAGAGTATCCAAAGTTCCATGAAAATTGCAGAAATCTACTTAAAAGCAAAGCCTTCTCCACTTAACTGGGCTTAAGTTAGTGAGTTTAAAATTACTAGCTGAGGTATGACAGAAAACATCACAAATAATCTATTTAAGCTAAACATAGTAACCTTTAAATAAATACATATATTCTCATTAATTAGTAAACTTACTGATTAACTCAAAGGTGAAAATAAAGACCTGTGAAGCAAGCACTGTACAAGATATTCTAGAAAGCATCCAGATAACTGTATGGTTATGCATATAACCCTGTGTTTTCAGTAGCTAATAGAAGATAAAAGAAATTAATTTGTACCACATGATGTTTGTTACATTACTGTTTTGGCAAATTATTTTACATCAGCACTTGTATAATATGTTTGAAGATAGGGTAGGCGATGTTACTGTCCATTTGAAATCACAAAATTAAATTGTTGTAAGAAGAGTTCTCTTTGAAAACTCATTTTTGCAACTCTTATGAACATAAAACAATCAAGTGTTTACATTCAAATCCACTGTTCTTTAAATCCTCACTATAAAGACAAAATTTTATCTGCAATGGCAGACTTAGTTACTTTCCTTTCTTTGTAAATAACTAAAAACCTCATAGAAAAATCAAGGTAAAGGTTATTTTCATTTCTTAAACAGTGAATTCCTTAGGCAGTATTTAAATTATGTGGAAAACCTTTTTTTTTTAAATGGACTTTTCTGGAGATAAAGGAACTGACATTGACTGTTGTTGTTTCAGCTAAGTTTAATTCTAAATGAGTTCAAGACCTTGCCCAGAATGAAGACAGACATTAAGTAATCAAAAACAGCTGGAGTAAACCACAGATACGACCTTTCAAACAACTTCTGCGAAAGCTGTAGATCTTCTACAGGCCATAATGAATTTCATTTAATTTATGGCTTTACAACAGTCTGTGGGAATTTCATCATTGCCAATAGGTGAGCCAGGGTTCTACTCTATACACTCCCAAACAGAAAATAGAGTCCCAGACACTCCTTTGCAACAGCAAATGTATTCAGTCCATGTGAAACTATGTCCCATTTCTATAGTGCCAGACCAAAAAACATGCTGTGAAGATTTTGTTTTGGCATTTAAAAACTGTACCTGTGTTGACGTAGTAGCATTTGGTGTTACGGGTGATGGCGAGTCACTTGTTTTTGGCTCACCAGGGGAAGATGCTGAACTTTCTTGGCTGGCTGGCTGATCTGGTGATAAAGCATCACTGCTGTCTTCATCAAATGAATAATCATCCAAAGCTTGAGGATAATTCTCTTGTCCAACTGCTAGAATGTTTACAAAGAAACAAGCAAAACAATTTTTTTTGTAGCTACACAAATTAGACATTGGTGGCAGAATAATTGCTGGAAAATGTTCAGCACAGTCTAAACAGAGTACCTAAGTATTTATTGTGTTTTTAATATAATGACAGCCATATTAAATCATATTCAAGGAATTGATAAAACTAAGTGCATAGCAGAAGTTGTTTTAGTAAGAGATTAAAAGGTATGTTCAACGTACGTGGAGTGCACACAGACACCTATGACTGAGTAACTGCCACATATGTTTGATAATTCTGTAAAAATTTGTAAGAAACAAGTCTTTGAAAAGAGAGTATTATACTCCAACTATATACTTCTAACTTAGTTTCAAATAAGAATAGGATAACTTTAATTAAATTACAACAGAGTTTAGGACTCAGAAGCTGAAAGAATAAGTAGTAATAAACTCTCAGTATGTTCTCTTCTAGTGAACTCTACCCTCAAGAGTTAAATGATTATTTACCACAATGCCATATAGTTAACAGATAGAAGCTGTGGGACTTCTACTTGCCTATAATAGCTTCTTTAACACTGGAGTCTACAGGAAGAATATTTTTTTCTACCAGTTCCATAGGGCCAGGCCTCTGAGCAATCTTCTCATTCAGATCATCTGCCAACCGAGCTCTCTTCAGTTTCATCTGAGTAGCTTGTAGTGAAGGCTCTGCAAAGGTCTCTAAAAAGATATATTGATTTAACTATTCTGTTCGATCTTTTTTCCAATTTCATGACAAACAACATTGTCTTGTCTTTGCAATAACCATTCCACTTCTATCAAAAGCAGGGAAGCATTATTCTGAAAATTCTCAAATTAATAAGCAAAAATAAGATTACGGAAGTAGATGTTGTTCATCCCCATGATCATGTTTTTCTATAAATATAACTTCTTTTTTAACAGCAGTAATGCTTTTGGTAAATGTCTGTATAATGTCCAACAATTAAGCAGGAAATATAAAATAACAAATGCTAATTACAGCCTGAAGACAGCATTTGCTGTTCTAATGGTTCACCAGTGTGAGCTATAGTAAAGGTTTAATTAATCCACTGATTTTTGGATTCGCTCTTGACAAACATCATAAAAAGTTTACCTTTAAAGGTTGCTTCCAGCACAAATTTGAGTCTTCAAAATTGTATTTCAAGGCAGATATAGAGAGAGTCTGTCGATATGGATGGGATCTACCAATATGGAGACTCCTATCTGGTTTTAGTACCCATATGCATGTTTTGAAAACTAATGGCTATTAAATTGACTTGGACTATGGTTATTTGGTAATTTCTGTATTTGATAAGATTATGGTGAAACACGGTAATACAGCCACATTTATAAAAAGAATATTGTTTCAAATGACCTGAGCAGGGTAAAAGTCAAGTTTATTAAAGACTGATTGGGGTGGTGGTGAGGGAAAAGTACAAGGCTGTCACATTATTTTAGGGTACGAGTAGAAATTGAAGCAATATATACACTACATGTACATACACCATGGTATAATTATAGAGTAAAAGCAATACGCAATTGCAAACAAATACACACTTGAGAATACTTCCACTGCCATAGATGTACCTATTATTATACAGATTTAGAATACAGATTACAACAGACACTGTGGAAGTAGAGAAATAGAGCATATAAACCTTTAGAAATAATTCTTATCAAAGCCTAATTCAGGTAGAAAACCAAACGCATAACAGAAGTTCCTTCTAATAGCAGCTGAAAAGGCATATGCAGCTGGGTACATACCTTCAAGGATGTGCATTCTGACCAGCTCAGACCTGTCTGGCCTGCTGCGAATCTTGTGCTTCAAAAAATTTTCAGTCTTTAAAGAAATGAGGAAATAGCATTAACTACTGTTTACGAGAAAAATCAAAGTCGTTTGATAAATCACTAATGTCCAGTCAATGAATATTTGCAGTTGCATTCAGATAGGTGGACGTCGCTGTTAGAACATGGGCAGCAGAGGGGTTTGGTTTGGTTTGTTCCCTTTTTCTATCAGTTAAGCAGTGCTAATGAATTTCTATCATCCCCAAACAAGTTGGGAATGTTTCTGGATTTGATCCCATACCACCACACAAAATCACAATATTACAGATTTGCTACAGAAATACTGCACAAGCATAATTTACCCAAGTATTCTATCCTTAACTGGAGGTAGCTACGTATTGCATTATGACCATAAGTTTATCCTGCCACCTTGATCTGTGGAGGATTAAGAAAGTTCCTCTCAGATTTGACACCAGTATTTTATTTTGGATTCTTCCAAGGTAAAAGCATATGTTACTATTGTAATGGTAATCAGTTTTTCATGTACTCAGAGAATTTATTATCACATACAACCGACTAATCCATTTTCAGATGTGAGTAACAAGTTTACACAAAGTGGTTTACCCTGGCTCGCTCCAGGCTCTTTATCTGCTCATGGAATGCAGCTGGACTTTTCAAAGCTGTGAAGGAAGAGTAAGAGTTAAATTGACTGGAAGTGATTTGCAAGAGAAATATCCTAATCAGTATGTGTGTATGGGTGTTTAACACCATCTCAGAGTTGTGTTTGCATCTGACCGAGCTTACATTTGACTCGTGCTAGTTGCATTCACTTATATTTAACACAGATGAGCAATGCTCCTATACAGAATAGTTGGAATATTTGATTTTAACAGATATTACCATGTAACAGTTGACTTTTTCACTATGTACACAGGGGTCTATTTACCAAAACTGTTCCACAGTAGAAGTTTTATGAGGTAAGGTTCAGAATGCCAAAATACTGTTTCATTTGTTCCACTGTGTTTACTAACTGCCTATATCTCATACTTGCTGTTACTAGAGAGAACTAGGCCGTTCTTTAAGAACTATTTGTGATGATTTTTTAAAAATAAAAAATTGTAGAAGCCCCAGATGTTCAAACTGGAAAACAAAATGATGGTTAGCTGCTAAAGAGCCAAAATGAGTCAAAAACACTATTCAGCTAGAAATAATATGAATAGTAGAGTGCTTCATCTCAATTGGATTGTTGAAAGGAAGTGAAATGGCAGCAGGCATAATCCATCTTATTTGCCACACTTTTGGCAGAGATCAGATACTGCAAAGCAAAATCTTTAACACTTTTTGACAGTTTAGAAGTTTTTCCCCAGGTTTCACACAAAAAGAAACAGATCATTCTGTTCCCAAAGATAATCAACACTACAGACCTGGGAAGGTGAAGATGCTTTAGCAAAGCAATCTGAAGCCTGCTGTATACTTAGAAACCTTCGAAAAGAGATTTGCTTTAAGATACTGTGCTTTCAAGATAGAATTCACTACTGCACACTGGGCTATTTATAATAACATGACATAATTTGTTTATGTTTTCAATGGCTGGGGTTTTTGTTTGTTTTAAGAAAAATCACTTTTCACAGTTGAATCTTTTGACAACTTGGACCTATTATCTTGAGCCCAGTCTCATCCCACACTGTCCACTTAGGGATTCTTCATGTTTTCTGTGCACCCCTCATTCTGAGGCCAGGCTGATCTCCAAAACAAGTCAAAAGACATTGTACTAAACAATTCGCATAGTCATTGGAAGCCCAAGTGAAGGAACAGCAAAACATCTCTAAGGAAAGAGTTAACTGCAGTCAAATTCTAGGCCGCTAAATATTCACGTTCAGGAGGACCCTCTTATGATTCTTAAATTGATTTTAGGTATTGTAAGTGCTGCTGCTGAAAAAAACCATCATCTCTAACAGATTGAAATCAATAAAGGAGAAAATGGACAGTATGATTCACAATTAAATTCCAGTGGTAGAATAGAGTTAGAGATAAAATTGGTTTACGGAAGAACTGATAACTTCTTGCATAGCTGTCAAGGATGGTAGGTAGCCAGGCCAAAGAGTCAGAAGCTCAGCATTACAGAATCCTGAAATCATAAATACATCTCCAACTGTATTTATGAACTTGGTGACATTGCCACCTTAGTGAGACACTTCACACTAAGGTGATCACCAGCATCTTAATTCTTCCAAAGATAGCATCTAAAGGCATTCGTTGAATTTTTAACACTATATAATTTTTTTTTTGGAAGAGAATACAAAACTCTTACACCAATTTGGACAGTTTGCCAGATGCGGCAAGTTGATCAGGAACTTCCAACTGGAAAAAATGAAAATGTTCTAAAACCAAAACAATTTTCTAAAAAAAAAAACCAAACCCAAAACACAAAACAAACCAACAACAACAACAACAAAACACCCACAAAAAAAACCAAAACCCCAACAAAACAACCCCAAAACAAAACTCAAACAAAAAACCCAAAGGTATTCATACTCATGAAGAAAGGCTGAGGCACAGAAGCTTCTGCATTAGGTCATACAATCCAGCATACGATGCCCAGTCTAATCCACTGCCTCATGTCCTGTAACATCACAGCTACCATCACGCAAGATTTGACACAGAAGACATGTCTGCTCGCCCATAAGTCACAACTTCTATGTGTCCTTTGTTATTGTTTGGCAACTCTTGCCATCCTACTCTTTAAAGACTGCTGGCTTTGTTATTGATGTCTACTCATTTATAAAACTCAATTTATTTCAATAAGATTAGTCATAATTTAAAGAGAGAAAATAAAAGGAGAATCAGACTATGTCTGCAAATCCTTGCATTTTCATCACAACAGCCATTTTAACTGAAACAGTAGGTAAGTATGATGAATTTACTTCCTGCTCATTTAAGGTTACAAAAGGATCCCACAGGTCTTTACAAATGATAAAGTTATTTTTAATGATTCTCATGGAAATGCTTATCTTCATTATTTTATATATTCAGTTCATAATTAATGCAGTGTAGTAATACAAATTACTAGAAAGAATGTAAGTCTTACGTGGCATGATGCCCTGGTCCACCAGCTGTTCTCGTGTCCGTCTTTGTTGTAGCCTCAGCTGAAGTACTGACAAAAGAAAATAATCATTCATTCATACGTAAGCATACTATCCCTCTGAAAGTACCAAAAAAATAAATTCAAAAGATACCAAGTATTTCAACTTTAGAAATACTTTTTCTGTATGTATTCAGACCTGACAGTAACCTCTAAGACACCCATCATTAAGGATCAACTGCTATTAGCATAGTTTGGAGTGATTGCTTCCAATCCATAGTTACACTGGAGTTTGCTGCTTTTTGGTCACATCAAATAACGGGACTGTATCTCATACATACATCTGCTTTTCCTATTAGCTAGGCCTCATAAGAGGTAGTAAGTATGTATCTAAATCTAGAACCCCCCCCCCCCCCTTGTAACACTACTCTTAGGTAATAGATTCAAGAAAACACAGTGGGGTATAAAGGCTTCATACCATAAACTGCAACACGTAGTGATTATATAGCCTTCTTACGTGTCTTAGACCAATCTTGCATTACTGCACTACACTGAAATAGAAATCATGTTTGCAGAGCATTTTAAAAGAAAAGCTGTATATGTTTGGTTGATCGTTTTTCCTTAAGGAAATTTTTTTTTTTTAAATATAAAGGCTTCTTGTACATTTAAATAAATCTTGCTGAAACACAAGAAACTGAAGAGAAGCCAGATTTTACCTGGCTTATTTAAAAACACCAAAAAAGTGATACAATCAGGAACAGACCTTATCTTCTCTCTGAACATCAGAAAATGCTGTTTTCCTGTTTGAGATGTGTTACCATAATTATTTCAAGGACTAAATAAATCCAATACTGTCAAATTTGGAAAAACTGTTTAGACTTTCAGAAGTAATTTCTTATGTTTCGTTACATTTAATAAAACATACAAAGGTTCTCATCTTATTGTTACTGTAAGAATAACCAATGTGACACACATTAAATACTATACCAGGTACTGCACAAAATGTGGGGGAGGGCATAGACATAAAGGCCTTATACTTTCAAAGATTAGGGCTTTTTTGTAAATGTTCCCAGGAAAAAAATAAGAAGAAGAAGAAAAAAAGTAGTTGTTTGTTTCTTCTATTGTTCCATTTCCCTTGTTTCTGTATCATTTTATCATAGTGCTTCATTATTTCTTAAGACACATATAACCATTATTCTAACATGAAATTTCATCTTTTGAACGAGAGATGGTCAAGATGCTTGGTCAAGAAAAAAAAATGTTAAAGATGTAATATTTACATTCTTAAATTCTGCCTTCATAGCTTATTATGGATGTATGATTATGACATGCTGTTCCCATTGTATTTCACAAGGAAGCAAAACAAACTATGCATTGTTCAAAACATCAAAACAAATGTAATTTCTAAAAAATTAGACTAAGGATAAGGTTCATTGTTTTCAGAATTTAAAAGGAACCAGCTTATTTCCTGTTCTACAGTACAGGAAGGATACTCTTCTGGCTAAAGCGTTAAGACCGGGAATAGCAAGTCCTGAAAACAAGGACATTTTTTTTTCTTGTGTCACACAAACATTGCGAATTTAAGTACAAACAGTTCAGGGCTGTGGCATGGCAGTTCTGTTCAGACTTTACAATACTGTTAACACAAGAATTACAAAGGACAGAGATGAGAGAATGCCGAAGTAACAACAGTAAAATGTAAATTAACGGAAAGTCTTTCAAAATCTATTGAGTTCCTCTGGAAACTTAAAAAAAAACTGCTTTAACTAATGAATTATATTTTCCAAGTAATACTAAATGACTGTAAAAAGTTAACTGAAGAATTATTTTATAATAGTTCGAATAATTTATCTTTTGTCTTCTTTAATTTCATGTGGCTCCAGGTAAGACATGACCTCCTCTTACAGTATCTCTCATTAGTAGATGCCAACTTGTGCTACCTGAAGTCTTGAACCAACTCAGAGGGTGCTGTTACACACTCCTTTCAGCAGCGCTTCCTAGGTTGGGTTTGGCATATGATGTAGCATAGACAGCTACATACTTACTCCCAGTAAGTTCAAATCATGAGTAGAGAAAGTTCAAATATTTCTGCAGAAAACCAGGTGGGTTTCTAAGTCCAACTGGTCTAATCTGCCCCCAAAATTGCAGATAAGTGTGTGCAAACACACATTCATGCAACTGAACACCCAACTTTAAAAAACCACAAGCTTTATATAAGTAAGTGCGAGTTAAGCCCATTCCTACAGAAAACTTCAAGACATGCACGTTTCAATGGAAATGCATTTTAAACACAAAATATAACGTTAGGATGTTAAGCTTCTATCCCTAGGGCTATGTCTAAAAATTTCCTACTGCACTAGCACAAAGCACTGAGAAATTCACTAACTGGTGTGGTGTCTACAGGAAAGCAAAAACTGATGAAGTTTTTTTGATTCTCTTGCTTACAACTGTAAAATCAAGAAAGCTCAGAGTTAGTCTTAAAACTAAACAAGCAAACCCTTTAAAAATCCTAGTAAGTTTTACTCATCCAAACGATGTGAGAGACAATTTATAGACAGCAAGACTACCATATTTCAGACCCAATATTTTTGGTCTTGAGTAGATTAAAAATTGACGTTCTTCTGTTCTTTGCTCAAACTATGCTTCCTTTAACACAACTAGGAAGCTGTGGAAAAGGTTGAAAAGCACATCCTGCTCTGGGCAGGAATCTTATCCGTGCTATACAGCTGTATTTGGTCCAAATTTACACCATACTCAAACCTGGTTTTCTTGGAACACTAAACACAGTACAAACGTGTCCAAATCTTTTATCTAATTACAAGTCAGTTTTAGACACATGACACTCTATTTCAGGCTCAAGGTCTTCAAGAAAAATGACCTGCTGCAGCATCAGTTATGTCCAGGGTAGAACTGATATACTTCAGACACAGTAAGTAAATCAGAATTCGTATTTTTTTCAATTCCATCACCTGGAACGTGGTGGATCAACAACCGAAGGCTCGTAATACTACAACTGGTGGAGGAATGTCATCTACCAACATATGATAGGCATTAAGAAATCCATTAAGAAAAAAATGCATTTATGGTACGTGATGGTTCTGATTTCTAGTACTTTTTTCTTTACTCAGACTTTCTTTTTTACTGAGCTTTATGATAAAGCCCATTTTGTAGGTGCTGCTGGTTCAGCTATGGCTACCTAAGCATTGCTAGTATGGTGCTTTCAAATAGTAAATTGAAGTGGGAAAGCTACACAACTTTCAAATTGATCTTCACACTATAGAATGCTCACCCTGTTTTGCAGAGTTGATAACAGCTTGAAAGCCCTTACTCATTCACCCATTTGGACAGCTGGCTAAATTGGAAAATTACTTTGTAGGAAGCACATACACCATCTACTCTATGAAACCTACTACAGACAACAGATACTTGTTCTTCATCTTATCAGACTTTACATATTTAAAATTCTAACGTAGTATCACTGCAATCTCAAAAGTGATGCGCAAAGTCTTTGCGTAGGAAAAAAGAGCTTAACAGTGTTTTGGGCTTTTTTTAGAAGTTAGTTTCACTGTTAAAATTACATATAAAGGGGCAGAGTTTTATCAGAAATTTATTATTTATTAATTAGAGATCTGGCTTTCCCAGATCCAGATATTGACATGACTCTCAGACCAAGGCTCTTCATCTTTCATATGAAAAGGATCCAACTTCTATTTGGCATTCCACTACACCAAGACAGACAATGCTCACTGTTATGTCATACGATTGGATTGGACAGTCTAAACATTCAGCATTTAGCAATTATGACATTTTAAGTTTTCATTGGCAAGTTTGTGGGAGCAAAAATCAGAAGGGCCTCACACTGTACTTTGCCAATACAAGTAAGCTAAATAACTACTCCAACACCTCTCATATGTATTCCCCTAGAGTGTACTTCAAAAAGGGGCTGCCTAAGCTAACTTCAGCTGCTGAAATTTCTCTTGGAAACAGACCAACCACCCCACTAACAAAAATACCTCAAAAACAGTGTACCAAAGTTTCTGTGTCGAGGTCCTGTTTTGAACCCTCTTTCAACAGCACTAGTAAGATGGAAGTCAGGAACATAAACATGCGTGCCCAAAGAAAAAGACACTTTGGACAGTGTCAGCGCACTGGTACGGACTCGCTGAGCACGATGCGGTTCCTGCAGCTCCCTCTTTGTGCTATCCAGTGTGACGTGCATTAGAAGGGGGGAAAGGCTGTGCTTCCCTCTGACATCACACTCACACACAGCCCTACACCATGGAAGCACCAACACTGTAAAACCATACCCCAGGGGATGTGTAACTTATGTTTGCGGCTGATGCAATTTCTGTCAGTTCCTGACAATTAATGCTGCTTGGCCATGGCAGGTCATATTCACCCAGGAAACGGGGGAGGGAGACTAAAATACATCTGTTCAACAAAAAATAGTGGTAACAATGTACGTAGCTTATCTCTTATTTTCCAGCTGGTTGCAACTAACTCTTTAATGAACATTAATTCCAAATGTAGATGATGGGAAGCCCTCCTATGTAATTTATGAATGTATTCTATCTCTGATTTGCAGCTTCAATTATGATCAAATATTTGGCTTAAGCTTTGCAGAAAGAGTAAAAACGGACGCATATCCTAAACAATGTATAGTCTTACAAGAGAATACACAGTGGACTATAGCGGAAGGATGAGAAGAACAGCAAGAATGTACCCGCACATAAACCTTATGTGTTCAGGTGCGAAGTTTTAGCTTTTTTTTTTTTTAGCAAATATACACATAACAAATAGTTATTGCCTCTCGTTACACTACTTGCCTACCCATCATCTGTTAACCTACACTGGGCATCACAAAGCAAATTAAGGATGATTTTTTGAAGTTGTCCCATGCGTATCTGGACAAGTCACAAAAACTGTGGGAGGACTGAAAAAATGAGGGATATAGAAGATAGAGAATGTGCAGTTATTTGCTTATTAAATAAATTATCAGAAACTTATGTATTACATAGTAAAGAAAGCCTGTAGCATGACTAATAGGGAAGCACTGCAGGAGGAATACTAAA